GGACTTAGAAAAATATTTAGAAAAATAGGATAGTTTTATTTTCAATTTAATCATTGTAACTATTATTATTATAAATACTTCGTAAATGAATACTTGTATCTAAATAATAATTGTAACAAATATTTAAATATGAAATAAAAATTCTATTGATCCATTTAATTCTTTTTATCCCTTTTCAATTATTTATTTATTATTTATAGTTCTTTAAATTAAAATAACTGAAAATTAAATTCCAGCTTTTTAATCTTTAGAGTAATAAATAATTAACTAAACATTGATTCAACGTTGATCAAATAATAAACTCGACGCTTCCAACATCCAAGGCAAAGCACAGTCAAACACAATAACTGATCAGACGCATTCCCTTTTCACTGATTTTTACCCTACACTGCCAATCCAAACTGCATGTATCTTTTGACTATGTTCAATCAAACAAATGTGAATTCAAACCAAATGCCTTCTTTTACTGATTAAATCAAAACAATGCGAATTCAACCCGAATCTCGGAATAACTTGCAAAGTGCTGTGGAATTTAAATCCTTCTGAGAACGTGCCCAAAAACCCTAATTCCTGATTAAATGCCAAAGAAACGTTCGCCTGATCGAAGTTGAGCCAAAATCAACCAAAAACCCTAAACCAACTGTTTGAAGCAATCCAAAGCCCTGAAAAATCAATGAAACCCTAATTGCGTCTGACTGACGAGAAAAGTCCGTTTGACCGATTCTTGAGCCAGTTTGAAAGATCAGGAAAAGCCTGAAGTTGTTATTTCTTGTGGAAAAATGCAAGGGCAAATTTTGGGGTACAACAAAGTCACCAAGGTCTCCAGGTAGGTCAAAGTCTCTAATTCTAAGTCCAAGAAGTCCATAACTCCTTCATGCCAAGGATAGTAACCAATTCGTCCAAGTAACATTAAAGTTTTTTATTATTCAAGTTGGTTATTAAGTATCTTCGAAAAGAAAATGAAAGTACAAGTGAGAAAAATAAGAATGACATAAAGAAAAATGCTCAAGTGAGCAAAGAGGAAAATAGAATGAAATGAAAATGCTAAAATAAATGGTGCTTAAAGTAAAAGCATAGAAATAAAAGTCAATTTTTAATGAGTTAGAAATTAGTGATTAGTTGAATGACCATATTGAAACTTGCATTTGAAAACTCATTAGAAGATTGATAAAATCAAAGTCTCTCAACAACAAGTTTCATTTGTTTTTTGTCAAGTATATCATTCATTTCAAATTCTCAAGGAAATAATCAAATGATTAGCGATGTTTAAATGATTCACTTAGACCAAAGTTTATGAAGGCTCATTAGAGGATTGATAAGACAAAAACCTCCTAACAATGAACCTCAATGTTATTAGATCAAAGGTTTCAAATTAAACATACATGAGCTTGCAAACATAGGTTTGGGCCACGAATGATCATTTATCGAATCGGGATAAAATTTAGCACTATGTTAAGCAAACGTAAATGGACTTATATAGAAGTCGCACCTATTTTTAAGCCGGTCAATAGCAATCTATGTGCCACATGTTTAGAGTGATGATATGTAGATCATCCTCTAACAACATGTAGTACAAGTAAGAAAGGGATAAGATGAAGAGGGAGGGGAAATATTTGAATAAAAAAATTTAATCAAACTATCATTAAAATAATCCATCCATTTTAGTAGAGCTAAACTCAACACCCGAGATCCAATGATGTTAATGAAGTTTATGATCAACAACCACATAGTCAAAATATATTAAAAAATAAATTATATTTAATGAATAAAATAAAAAAGGAAAAATGATTTTTAAAATGAAAATAAAAGGAAAAATAGAAAACTATATTCAAAGTATCAAAGAAAAATTAGAAGAAACCATAGAAAAGTCTGAAATGGTCTCAAATATTTTTATAAAATTTTTGCTAATTTTTTAAAATAGAACATAATTTTTAAACTAATTAAAACCACTCAAATAAGTGAAAAAAGATCAAAAGTGGAAGAAGTCAAGATAAAATTCTGGAAAATTTTCAGAAAAGTCAGAAATAAGGAAAATGATCTTGATAAAAAATTTTAGAATTTAAAAAATGCCAAGAAGTATTTTTAAAATAATTAAAATAAGGCAAACAAAACAAAAATTATGAAAAATATGAAACATTAAAATAAAAATATAAAAAAAATTTCACAAGATCAGAAATTATTCAAAGTATTTTGTATTTTTTTAAAAATAATTTTTGGATAAAAAATAAGAGTTATGAATTTTTAAAGATACAAGAAATTTAAAATTAATTTTGTAAAATAAAAACAAATCAGAGAAACCACGCGCGTTAGATTTCTCTCCCTTATACATACTGGCGGGTCTAATGGATATGAGGTGAGGGAGTATCATGGACCCAAGCTAAAGCGCGCACATACCACACAAGAAAGTCCAACCAATCAAAATAAAATAATTGCTTAATGTCATTGGTTGAAGAGTGACACGTAGGTCGTCTTCAACCTCCATCCTCTTGCAAGTAGGGCAAATCCAAGATCCTTGATTCTGTAAATTTACGCTTTCATAGTGGTACCATTAGATGCGTCTACTTGAGACGATCACAACCATATGTTCACGAAAAATTTATATAAAGCACAACATAGTCGATTTGGAAAAAACCAGAGATGCTTAAAAATGTTAAAATTGAAAATCAGAAGCATCAAATGCATTGTTTCACCAAAATTGAGTTAAGAGCAAACATCAGTGAACATCATAGACCATTCTAGTAATTTGAGTTAGAGGATTTGGTGCCTTAAACTACCTGAACGAAGTCAGGTGAACTTGCTCTGTAAATGGACTTGGCTAGCGCAATTCAGGGGACCTCAAGGCTTGATTTTTCTTCTGTTAACTTCAGTGAGTTTCAAGGATGAAGGATCAATTAAGAAATTGGATTGAAAAGTGGAGAAAAGAGGAATTCGAAATCTCAGAAAATTGAATTATGGAGGGAGTTTGACATAGTGATTTTGGTTGTTCAAGCTTGAGAAAATGAGAGGAGTGAGGTCCTCTATTTATAGGGAAGCGAATGGTGCAAAGAATTAAGAGGAAATTTGAAGTTTGGAGGGAAATTGAATCAAGCTCGAAAGTGAAAAAGTGTAACCCCATGTGCATCAAAACTCACTTAATTCCTGAGTTTGGATCTTTAATTCAACTTTGGGAACTTTGTTAAACATGTTTAAATCAAAAACGCCTGATAAATTGGTGATTAGAAGCCATATTATGAATTTCAAATTCTGACTTTGGAGAAAACTTCAGTTTCAAGGTACCATCTTTGAATCCATGGTGTTCACAACTGAAGGAGTCTTAGGGCATGATTCTTGAAGTATTTGAAAGATAAGGTCACAAACTTTACAATGTGCAAAGAGTGAGATCAATTAGATGCTTGAGCTAAAAGTTGTGATGAGTCAAAGATGAGAAAAAGATGCTCACTTTTGGTACTTAGAAAAATTCAAAGTTTTTCTTCAAAAGTGACCTATAATGTTTTGAGTTCAAACAAAGTCTTCTCCCAAAATTGAGTTTTGATCATTGATGCTAGCTTAAAGTAGACTTCCCAAAGAGCATTGTGAAACTTGAATCACTCAAAAATACTAAGTATTGAAAAAGTTATAGCCTTGTAAAATTGGTGAAAATTTATGAGATGGCCTATAATCTTTTGATTTCTTAGGGCATCTTCCACTCATTTTCAAGCTTTCCACATAAAAGAAAGGTTGAAGTTATTGTGAATGATAACAAGAACCCATAGAAATAATGACCACTTCTAAATATTAATAATTTAAAGAGTTATGCACTTGTGATCAAGGAATCAAGAACTTGTCCAATTAGGTCAAACCTCTTCAATCAATTCTTGCATCTTTTGACTTCCTTTAACAAATTGAGGCATGATGAATCATAGTAGACCTTTTCATGATATTACTTTAAAGCATATTCAATGATGAAGCTTGAATCTCAATGAAGCTTTGTTGAAGAAGGCATGGAAATAAACTTATGAACCTATAAATCAATCCGATGAAATGTGTTGTGCCCTCACCTATAGTATCATCAATTAGAGCAAACATTCATTGCATTTGTTAGTTAAAAGTTAATCAGTATAAAACAAATATGATCACAGTATATCAATCAAGGTGCTTGGTGATTCCTCATGAGCAATTCTAAAGATAGAGAGAAGAACCAAACCCTAGTGGGATCTTGTTGTGATTGAGTTGATATGAGATGATAGAGGATCTTAGAGGCAAAAATTGGGGTACAACACTAACATCAATAACAGAATAGATAAATAACAGAAAGCTACCTCTCAATCTTGATTCTTCAAGTTCTCACAGAAAAAAGGCTCTCTTCTCCTCTCAATATTCATTCTTCATTCTCCTTAGAAAATCACAAAAAACCAGAAAAAGCTTCTTTGAACTCTCTGAATTCAGCATAGCATCATGGTCTTCCATGTTTAATCATTTTCATTCTCTCTCTGCCTCTTCGACCTTCTCATCACCATCTTCAACCTTTTTTCGTTATTCACGACTACAGATAAATCACTAAGAATCGATTCCAGAAATCTCCCTCATTTCTTTGCACCCTCAAAACTGCATCTTCTTTCTTTCTCTGCAAGAACTATATCTTCAAGCTCCTCTGCATCACTCCTGCTCAACACTCACCATTAATATCTAAATCACATAGCAACACACACTTCATTGTTTCATAGCGAGAACCATACACAAAAGTAGAGGAAAAGTACAAATCGAATAGTGGAGAGAAGAATGAGTTAACGCAACACACACGCGGAAAGAAGATCATAAAATAAAGAAGAATAAGGAAGAGAGTTAAAAGCGATAAGGTAGAGGACACGCCCCTGGACTTCAAGTTCTCCGAATTTTATTACCGAGCACCACCTTTGAGAAGAGCCGCCGGAGCTTCTCCGGCAAATAAGTGACAATATTCTATGTTCTCCATCTTATTGAATCATCCAATTTCCATGTGAAGTGTGTCTGTTTGATGAATATCAACCTCGATATTGCGTTGCCGGATACTGCTCCATGAAGTTGAAATTTTGGTTTTCCATAGATCTAGGGTTTATACTTTGGCAAATTGAAAAGTTTGGTTTAGAATCAAAGAAAACGAAGGTGGAATTTGGAGATATGGGTTGATCATAGAGGGATTGGTGGCGTTGTTTCCTTGTGTCACACCATGCTACTGCCGGAGACGAAGGCACGGCGGTGCAAAGGGGAATACGTCTAAGAATTGAAAACAATGAGAATGAGTGAAGGAGGGAAGTTGTGTACGAAAGTAGGTCAGGAGGCACGCGAATATGACGATGTTTTGTACTTGAAATTTTCATATTTTTTGTTATCTCATAATAAAAAAGAATTGAATAATAAATCTGATAATGATAGAGTGTTGATGGATCATTGTTGTAATGTTACTTGGGCCTAGAACTGTGATACACTATGTATACCCCTCAGGCCCATTACATCCTTTTTGGCATAATTAGACTTGGAGAACAAAAACTCTCTTGATGGATTTTCTGGAATGGGACTTCAGCGCCTAACCTTTCATATTCCCCACCACTAGATCTTGGCTTCACACTCCTTGGGTTTAGTTTTTATATTTCCATTGCATTTTATTTATTTATTTTGTTATAGATTGTTTGTGATAATAATATAATAAAAATAGTAGGATATTTTATAATGTTTTAGGATCTCTCTTTAGAATTTTCATTCGATTTTTTTATCTTTTTTTGTGTGTTTGGTAATCATTTTTGTTGTCATTTTTAGTCAAGATTTTTGTGATAGCATTAATGCAACTTTTGTGATGTGGAATGCTTGGAGATTAATTAGTTTGATCACTTATGCGAAGTAGCTTCTGTGGAGTTTTCTCTTCTCCTGCGTGGTTTTGAAGAGGCAACAAACCTTCTCTGTTTGGTATCATCATGACCTTATTTTATTCCTCATTTCTGCACTTATTCATACTTCTTTACCGCTTTTCTAGAGATCAAGAGAAGTATGGCTTTACTGCTTTATGATGCCATGAGAAGTAGGGTAGAGATGTATGACGGGGATCTCCGCTTCTGATCATGTCAGGAATCCCTCTGGTTTATTTAAAGACCCGTTTAGGGAAATTCCGCATTGTGTGCATTCTATATGCTATTTGTGTTTGTTTAAAACCCTACCTTTGAAGTAGGTATTTTGCACGTGTGTTTACATTTGTGCCCACATTATATTGCAGATGATAAGTCCTCAAAAGAAGGCAAGTGGGAAGGGTCAATAATCGACCCACACACATTTTAGTATGTGTCATCCTTAGCTCACTTAGTACGTTGATGCTTATGAGTCGTGCAGATCATGTGTATCATGTCGGCCATGTGGGGAAGGGTTTTGCAAACAAACCCCTGCGTTTTGTCAGGAATTTGCATTGGCCTATGCTGACACTCTGTGATTGTTCATATTATTTTCTGTCGCCTACCTCGATCTTTTATATCTTGGTTAGGTGTTTAGTCGCTTTGGATGTCACATTTTTGTTTTACGTCCTACTCCAGCTTGTTTGTCTCAGGTGATACGCTCCTCTTGACTAAAGCATTTCACTTATTTTCTTTACCATTTTATGCGTGCGCTCCTTCGAGCTTGCTTGTTTTATCCTTTTACATACCATGCTCCCTTAGAATAGGAATTTGTATGCTCCCTTAGGATCACTCGATTAGAGTAGCTCTCGAGCTAGATATTAGGATAGGAATCCATGCATGCTAACATAGGATAGAGTTTTCCCTTTAAAAACTCAACCTTAGAATTAATCATTGTATGGTAACATTAGGGATAGAACTAGATAGTCTCCCTTATATGTTTTTCTTTCTTTAGCATCCTTGCATTAAAACTCTTTTTTTTTTTTAAAAAATGCACAAAACATGTAACAATTTTCAAACCCTTCTTTAAGGTAAAAGATATCAACCAATTCAAAACTTTTTCCGCCTTCGAGACTTTCTTAGGAACTTGAAAAGGATGTGTTATTTTCCTTCCCTATGCAATACGATGCATAATTCCCCAAGCGTCGGGTTGTATCATGTCTACTTGCTAAGATTCATGAATGTAACATCATCCGCCTTCGGGCACCTTTTCTTTTGAAAACACTTGTTTAGGTGAGGGCATTTTATTTCCTTTCCACTACAGATGTGTGGGTCTCCAATGGTCGAGCAGCGGTGTAATGATTGAATTTAACAGTGTTCATTAAAAAACATAAACAAACCAAAACATGTGATCCGAACTACGGTTGCTCTGATTCCTTAAAAGGGATATGTAGGCATTGGGGTCAGGCCCGAACGAGCACAACTTTATTTTCCCCTATATTATTTTCTCTTTTCTTTTGTATGCATTTCCTATACACCTTAGATATAGATTCTTACACACCCATTAGATATACAACAAGAGTGGATACCGTAGATTACTACGGGCGTGTGGGGTGCTGATACCTTCCCCTCGCGTAACTGACTCTCTTACCCGATCTCTCGGTCGTTTGATCGTGATTTCACCCTTATCAGGTTTACTCGATGTTTACCTTTCCCTTCGTATGGGATAAAAGACGTTTGATGGAGACTTCATAAATTTCATCTCGATGATTTGTTCAGCCAGTTGTTTCAACAGGAATTAGAAAAAGAAAAGAATAAATCAAAAGAATTGAGTAAACTCGCTAAGTTGAAAACATAAAAAGGCAACCTAGGAAAAAATTTGTATCCCGGTGGATTGAAAACCCAAAAGGGCGATCCAGGAAAAAGTTAGGGATTTAAAACGAAAGGTTATGATCTACGTTGGATATGTGATATCATATCATTACAACTGTTGAGAACCCCGACGGGTAGGAATCAGTCCAATCATCTTCTTTAAGAAAGTGAAGTATTGAGAACGTCGAGGACATGAGCGCTATAGCAGAATCAGAACCCGATGGAAATATGTGATCACATTGCCATCTTTGTATTTTCCTGTTGCTATGTGTATGCAATTACCTCTTTTAGGAATTAATTCATGACGTAAATTCCTATTACAGGCCAATAAATCAATAAAATTCTTTTTTATGTAAATGCCTGTTTTGTTTACAAAAATGTCTAAAGTTTTTTTATAAGCATTGCATTTAAAAACATTAAAGCTTTACAAAGCATGATTAAAGCAGTCGAATTTTATTGAGATTTTAAGTGTCCAGGGTGGTAGCCAAAGCTGCCATACCATACCTGGGGCACGTTAGTGTGATTTGTTTAACAGGAACTGACGTTTGCTTGTGTTAAGCAGCATACCAACAATTGAGTGAGAGTCGTCAGGGTTCACCAGTATGAGGTTCTTGATTGCTTCGCCTAGCAGGGCATTGAAGGAAGCTTCCTCAGGCAGAGTATTTTATCCCCAATATAATTGGCAATTTTGAGGAATCTTTAAAAAGCTTTTCATTCCCCAGTTGGAGCTTGTCTGTTAAGAATTTATGTTAAGGAATTCTTCCACCCCCAAGCAAAGGATACTTCCCCAGCAGAAGTTTATGGTTGATCAGTCCCCAATGGAATTCCTTGATTTAAGATTTAAGTTTCTTTTTTAAGAATTCTTCTAGCCTCGGCAGTGGTGTAATGTTGAGATTCTTGTTCTCCTATCTCCAACAGAAGCCTGTCTATAAGAGTTCTTCTTCAAGAATTCTTTTATCCCCAATGGAGGTTGCATTTCTAAGAGTTTTATACCAGAGTTCTCTTATCTCCTAGAAATCTAGAAGGAATCCTTATCCCCTAAGGTGTGAGATAATGGGTTGTTCCTCAAGCAGCTTGAAGCCTTTAACGTATAGAGTTCTTTTCCATGTCCCTTGATTTTTCTTTCTTTTCCTTTTTTTCGTGTTTGTTGAGATCATGTTCTTGAAGCTTACCAAACAATGTTGTATTATAAAGTTTCATTAGATCATTAGCTTCCATAATCTTCGTAACGTTAGATTGCCATTCCTTGCTAAGACATCTCAAAATTTTATTAGTAGCAACAACATTGGAAGTGGTATGACCAAGTGAATGTAAGAGATTGATTATATGAGTGGATCTCTTTTGCATCTGCAATGGTTTTACCATGCTTCATGTGAAAGAGATCAAATTCTTGAGTTAAGGTATTACTTCTAGCTAATTTCACATCATTAGTTCCCTCATGGGCAACTTGTAATGCGTCCCACATTGCCTTAGCAGTAGCACAATGAGAGAGTCTAAAATACTCATCAACACCCAAAGATTCTATGAGCATATTCTTACCTTTCCAATCATAGCTATAATTTTTCTCATCATCCTCATCCCATATTGCTTCCGGTTTAGGTATGGTGGCACCAGCCTCATCGGTAATGGTTATTGCTATAGGACCATTCTCGGTGACTTTCCATATTTTTCTATCAACAAAATTAATATGCACACGCATACAATCTTTCCAATAATTATAATTTTCACCGATAAAAATAGGCTCTCTATTGTACTCCCCTTTTGGATCGTTCTCCATTTTCTAAAATGTTATATACGAAGCACTAGGTAAACCAGTGCTCTGATACCACTTGTTAGACGATGAGATGGATCTAGAAGGGGGGTTGAATATATCCTTTATTTAAAAATTGCGCTTTTAAAATTTGTTTTGAAATGATGCGAAAGCTTCTTGAGTTAAAATTGTCTAAACGATCCGTTATTGAAATATCGGATATGTGAAACCGAATGGAATTCTTATGATGAAAAATGAATCAATACAATTACTTATTAATCAACCACTTAAACAATATCAATGAGTACTTACTACTTCCAATGAACCGTTTAAGATAAAACTTGACAAAATCATTAATTTGTGTGTTAGTCAATTTATCAAACACTTGGTGTGCAAAAACACAACAAGTTAAATTTTACTTAATTGTAGTGATGAATTTTTCTTGATAAAAATCAAATTGATTGCTATGACAATTGTAAACAAAGTTTGACTCACTACAATCACAGTAAAATGAATTGAACAATCGATATCACACAAATTATGACAAACAAAAATAAAAGGATAGGGAAAGAGAAATAACATACGATTTGTTACGGCAGTTCCCCTTGTCGTCCTCACGTAGGGTAAATCTTCCCCTAATTCTAAAATCTATAATTGAGATATAAGATATTAAGTTGCAAAGTGTTACAAGAGAAACAATAGTCTTCACTACATACAAACCAATTGTTGACGATTAAACTATTTCCTTCTCTCCCCTTGGTTCAAACGAAACTAAGTATGCCAAACTCTTCAAACAAACCTCCGGTTACCGCTACTTGATTGCATGAACTCCTCGTTCTACAAATCTTTCACTTGGCTGATTTCGATCGCAAGGAGTTTG